TCGAACCGCATACTTAATACGCAACTCTGCTGGCTGTATGGTCGCGGAATTTTATCGTTTGTACGCAAAGCGAGCCAGTTTCCCATATCCCTTCTAGCACAACGTAGGTAGGCACTCCCAAAGCTGATATGACGGTGCAGTGCCGCCCTTTACGAGGGAACCATTAATTTCTGCGTGGCATGGCGCTGAAGCTAATTTCCACAGTTTTTATGCGTAAAAAACCTTCCGTGCTTTTTATATTAGGCTCTTCAAAGTGGCGATATCGAGGCCTTATAAGAAACCTGCCTCGACAATAAAAACAACCGCATCTCCACGTGGTGAATGATGTTGATTGAGGCGAAGCTCTGGTGGTGCTTGTCTGCGTAGACGCTGAGCCTCAGCATGCCGAACCTTTCGTATGTTTTCATCCATGTCACGCTGCGGTCAAATGCTCAAATGCGTATATAACCACGTTGCATACAACACATTCTCTTTCTGACATGGATGAAAACGAGCGAAAGGCTCGGCATGCTTCGGCTCACGCTCTACGCAGACAAGCACCACCAGGGGGGCTATGTTGCGCTTTTTGCACTCCCAGGAGACTAGGGAGAGGGAAGTGACGTCAACGACACAGCAAACGCAGATTGGGTGTTGATTTCGTTTTCTTCTGTCAACATCCAATCTGCATTTGCTGTGTCGTTGAAGTCACTTCCCTCTTCCAAGTCTCCTGCGAGTGCAAAAAGCGCAACATAGCACCCCTGAGCTTCGCCCCAATCAACATCATTCACCACGTGGAGATGCAGTTTTTTTTTGCCCTACACGAGCACGGGAGCACGTGCTCACGTGCTCATGAGCACGAGCACTCGACGCCGGACATCGGACGAACATACAGACATGGCTAGCCCGGGCCCCTGAGGAGCCTCGCACCTAAAAGTCTGGTGCTATCCCAAACGTTCTTGAGACTTAAGGTCAGGCTAGTTGGTTGCACGTGCCTTTAAATGGTGGGTATGGCACGCATAAAACGGTATTTTCCGCTGTTTCCACCATCAGGAAGAAGTAGAGCCTGTTACATCAGGAGAGAAAAAAAAGATTCGTTAAGACTGAGTTTATGAGGGCTTCCTAAAAGCGCTACCATTTATACTACAATAAAGGATACCATGTAAATTATGTGATTCTCTACAAGTCGAAAGGAGAATGAGAAGCCTTAAGTTTATCAAAATTCATATCACTTTACGCAGGATATTATTTCGATGACCAGCTGCGACCAAAATGGTGTTCCATCGAACCTCCTTCTACCAGCTGGCGGGGAACAAGTCAATGACCCGAAATGACAGCTCTGGTTCTCCTTAGGGCCACTGCCTCTGGGAGTACCACGTTCGCGGCGAGACGCTCTACCGCGAAGCGGGTTCGCACTCGCGTGGCATCCTGCTCGTCGAGCGCAATGAGACACCAGTCACGTTGGTAACGGTGATAAACTCTGTTTATTTACAAAGAAACAAATAACAACAAAACAGCGGCTATAAGCTGGTGAATGCCGTCGGTGTGGAGATCGCCCACGGCCGAACGGTCGTTCACAAAGGTACAAAGGACGGGGTAAACGCTCACCGGTGCGCCGGACAATTCCCCGTTGTCGCCGCCGCCGAATCCCAGGAAGAAGAGAGCAGCGGTACTGCTGTCCAGTGTTGTCAACTGAAAAATGGAAAACCCGCAATCGGAATCCCGAAAACCGCTAAAAACCGCTAAATCCAAAACACAGCGCAAAAATTACTTTTTAACAATTTTTTTTTGCTTTAATTCTTGCCCCAATGTATCATAACAGTATAGATCATATCAATGTCATCTGAAAGGAAGCTTTCCTTTGTTGTGACTACAAATCTGTCACGCCGCGACACAGTTCACCCAGGTGATACGAAGCCAAAATTGTGGAGTGAGCGCATACGAACATGGCAAGGGACCCTTCAGCAGTGCGTGACTGGTCAGACTTCCGTTCAACTCGTAAAGTCGTCTACCTGTCAGAGGAGAAAGGTGCAGCGGCCAAAACATGCTTCTTTATTGCAGCTTGCGCGACCGAATCCACGTGCTGTGCAGATAGTTCCGTTCTGCAATAGCTGAACCTGGTTCGTCTGCTATCACCAGGAACCCCCAGTCGGCAGTCTTTAAGTTGGGGTCTTGTAGCAAGGCTTTTCTAAACTTATGAGCGGACTTCACCCGGCCCATTTCACGAGGTAGTGACAAAAACGTCAAAGGAACATTGGAAATTCATGCTGCTCAAACGTGCGCGCACAAAACAGGGAGGCATGTTCCGATATTCGACGCTTTAATGTTTTGATGACGTCACAGGCGTTACTCTCACTAACCAGAGAATTAATGAGTGTAAACAAAGACGACTGTGGCTGATTATGGATACGACAGGTGCATAGTTGAGAATAAATCGATATAAAACTTCTATATTTCCAAAAAAAAAAAACGCCAAGATTACATAAAACCGGCTAAAAAAAACCGCCGCCCGCAAAACAATAATTTATCCCGCTAAACATAACCAAAAACCGCTAAGTTTAGCGGGAAAACCGCTAAATTGGCAACACTGCTGCTGTCCGCTGGTTTTAAGATAACGGCGGGGCGAAGTGGCCAATCAAAGAGCGACACGTCCATCTCCTTTGTGCGGGGGTTCGTTACGGAAATCGCCCCAAAGGGGGAGAGGAGGAAGCCACTGGATGGATGGATGGATGGATGAATACGGCTGAGCCCTTTGGATCGGACGGTAGCTTACGCCACCTAGCCATTTTGTTTTACCATTTAAGCTTAGAATATTTGAATGTGAAATCTATATTCACTCCGCAGTGCAAAGAAAGTGAGGCTATGAAACCCCCTTGCCATCAGTGAATAAGAAAATACCTAGTTTTAGCCATCAGTGAATAAGAAAATACCTTACCACTCACAGTGGTAAGCAGCGCCACCTCTCGCTACGCCAGCGCGGCCGCCACGGCGCGCCAAAACGCTGACGCGACAGAATGTTGAGGCATCACAATCCCCACACAGCCATGATTGTCCCAGGCGCAATTACAATTTTCCAGTCATCGTACTCGTAAACAAATGAGCTAATTTTAAGTGGTATATTGGTTTCTAAAATAAACAGTACTGATAAGAAGATAAAACTGATCATAAGGGGGGGAAGATAAGCGGACATGTATATGAGTCGGTTAACAGACAGGTATTAACTTAAAAATATGCTAAAAATTAGCACGCCTTAAAGCAAATAAAAAATACACCCGTTTTGTTTCTTGTTACACGTGTTAGCTCTCTGTTGTTTTACTTAACTTCTACCAACACGCACATTAATCCATACAGAGATTTTTTTTTATTTTTTTTTTGCTGTTACACTTTCATGTGTTATACGCAGTGATTCCTTGTTAAAAGTTTTTTTTGTTTGGTTTCATTCAAAGGCACGTGTTAGAATCTGAAAAAAAAAAAAAAAAACGGCGCCGACACGGCGCAGGAAATGTACCAGTACTAGTAATATCCTCTAGTTCTACATGATCCCAACGCATTGTTTGTTCGTGCTGAGTTTTTTGCACAGTTGAATGTATAACGCCTAGAATCCTTAACATGTTTTCCTGCGGTGGCCTATGTAACGGGCTCCCAGATCTCCTCAAACTGCTCTCCAGTGGCCTTTTTGTCTGAGAGCCCCTCTGGAGGAAACCTGTTGAGAATTGTGTTTTAAAACGCTGTACAAATGCCTGAGTTTGCGAAGTTTGTTGAAATTTCAGTCCTTCCTACGTCGTCCGGTTTTTCAATTTGTCTTCTAAAATACACCCCAGCATGCAGGGAATTCCGTTAAATACGCAAGCCAGCGATCTTTCTCGGCGCATATCCAGCATTGTCCTAAGAAAGCACTGCACATTATTTAGAAAATAATAATGCTAGTAATTTTAAACGATGAAAACAGCGCCAACAATGACGATCAGGAAAAAAAAGAGCATATTCGCAGAACTGACTTTCAACTGAGGCATGCTTTGTTGAGTATTCGGAATAAGTGTACACTCTAAAAAATAAGGGATGTAGTACCTACACTCCTTGTCCTATATATAACACCCCTAAAATTACAATTCGACGTACAGTCTACTGACATCGAACCGACGATACCAACTTTCACGAGTGGCTTGATAGTCGAGTGACACAATATAATAAAATATCTAATGTACGCCTTAAAGACGACAGGAAACCACCTATGGTTTTGCTGGTGCTGTTGTGAAACCTCAGTTTCTCTGTAAGTCTTCGATACGTACGCTAGCTGTTTAGTAAGTCATGTCACACAGCCATCAAGCCGCTCGTAAATGTTGATATCGTCTGTTCGACGTCAGTGAACTGAACGTCGAAATGTAGCTTATGGGTCTTATATATGGGACAAGGGGTGTAAGTACACTACACCCCCCATTTCTGAGTGTATATAAGACGCTGTAAAACGAACTGGCTAAATCGGCGCCCGCACAATGAAAGCTCAAACTTTTACCGAATGTGCTTGAGGTGGTGGATTTTAACTTGCTACATTTGAAGTCAGCTTCTAGTTCCTGTGAAAGATAAGACCAGCAGACTTGCCAGTGTAAAGAACGATAGTGTAGGCAGACGACAGAGTTAAGATGAGTGAAACTTGTGGCTCCATCTGCCGATAGCCCAAGAGAGACAACAGAGTGCGTCATCTGCTTACTGAGCCTATCAGAAGACTCCTTCTTGCTACAATAAATTAAAAAAAGCGATTCATTTGCTTCGGCGCTTTACTGCGACACCGCTTTCCTATTTCCGTGACGTCCTGGCTGGGGTCCAGGTGTTTTTAGATCATCGGGCACATGTGCAGATCTCATCGCTTGCACAATATTGATGTAAACAGGAACGCTCTAAATGTGAGTCCTCTATCAACAGGCAGGCAGCATTAAAACAGCTGCGTCTGGGGGAATATTACCAACCTCAATCGCTCACTGCTCTGAACCGTCGTGTCGAATACCAGTAGAACGGTCGAGTTAAGCATGACGAGGACGTGTGCTGCGAGTGAAGATGACGTCGTGGTTACGATCGAAGACATCGAGCGACTTGGAACCTCTAACTTTGATGCCACCGGCCGGGCCTATTACAACCGCGGCATCGGACCGGAGCAGACACTTAAAGAGAACGTCGCGGCTTTCTCCAGGTATGGTAGCGCAACGCGCGGGCTTACTTTTTGAGACATGGCCCGACCCGTGCCCGCTGAATCTTAAGTCTTACCCGACCCGAATCCGAACCGATGGGTTGCCCACCTGATCAGGCCCGGCCCTGACCCGGCCCAATGGGATGCCTATTTGATCAGGCGCGGCCCGGGCCCGACCCGGTGAGAAGTCAAGACGTGCCTCACCTCTTAAATTCAAAGCTGCCCTGGAAAGGTGTTGGTACATTTGATTCGTTTAGCCTGATCTTTAGATTTGTTTAACCTAATTTGAAGAACATAACTTATATCTTATATTGCGAGATGGTGGGCCGACCAGATCAGTCTATCCCATGACAATTAAAACCCAAAAGACGTTATAACGTAAAAGTGCAATCCGTTCAGGGACACGTTTGCAAATTTCCGTGAAGATTGTAAAATGTGCTTTCTTCTTGAAATATGCCTACGTGTCCTTTGCAAATCCCAGCGTGTGGCTATGACGAACCTTGGCGGCACATAATCACCTGAAGTTCACCTGGCCGCTTGTTTTATCGAATCGATTGAGTGAGCGCTACTCGTTTTCCTGGAACTTGTCCTGCAACCGCCATAGCAAAAAGAAAAAAAAGAAAAAAAAGCTGACGCGTGTTTTATAGGTTAGGGGTGTCAAAGAACAGTTCTAAGCGGTATTTACCAAAAGTACAAAAATTGTTGACTCCTCTTTAACTTTGCAGCATGTACTGACGTTTGCGATAAAGGAGAAAGGCGGATCATCTGCCGAACGGACTATTATTTTGCCCTTCTTCGGCCTGTTCTTAAGCGCCTGTCCCGTCTACACCTTCTTCATCTTTGCTGTTTGGGCGCTGTTTCCAACATAAACCCGCAGCTGCTGTGACTCCACGCGCTATCCTTCGCACCGCCCCAAGACTGTGTGCTACTTACACTGAGGTGCGACTTAATTGTCTCGGAACTTCTGTTTTTAAGAGCCGTTTATGCGAGTGCGATCCAGAGACTGGGAAGTTTGGTATATCAAAACCTTCAGTTATACGAAGATCGGAAGTCCTTCAAGGTTAGCTCACAGATGGTGCAAGCGCTCTAAGCTATTACAAGCGGGTTACAGCGCTGTCTGTCACATGCAAACGCGTAAGCCAAACGCAGTTTTCAAGGCTGCACAAATGTTTACACAGGCTACGCCTGCGGCCGAGAGTGCTCCGCAACGTAGCTGAAAGGAGGATGGAAGTAACCCTGCTGGGAGACCAGAAGCTGTCCATGCCGGTTGGAATCTCTCCAACAGCTTTCCAAAAAATGGCACATCCGGACGGAGAAATCGCCGTAGCGAAGGGTGAGTGAAACAGGCAGCATTTGCTACGCGATTCAGTCACACGCAGGAGTGGGTGACGTAAGAAGTTATTCTTCTTTTAAGTCTCGTGTAAACTATGATGCCTCAATGCTCTTCTCGAGACACGGGCTCCTTTTATTGTAAACAATACAGCCAACATGCAATTAAAACAATTTAAAATGTGAATTTTTGCCACCTTTTTGTGGCTTCTGGTGTCATTCTGAACAAACACATGGCGCAAAAATTGAATTGCGTTGTTTTTTTAGTATTTTTTTAGCTAACGTATTGGGTTGGGATCTTCGCATCCAGCGATAGTATCAAAATTCTGCGACGCACTGTTGACATAGGCGCTACGAAACAACAACTATACCTTTGTTTCTGGACTGACACTTTACAACTGTAAGTGCTTGTGAGGCATATCCATTTGAAAAAAAAAATAATTGGGTTGTGTGATATGTTTAAACAGCCTAGAACTTGGTCTGCCTCACAGGGGCGACGAGTCTCCCAGCTGTAGATGAGAAATTTAGCCAGTGCAGTACAACCGCTAGCCTGGGTTCTTCAACGTGCACCACACAGTAGTGATACACGACCGCACGCCGGTACGATGCTCATCCAGATCGAAACGGGCAGGAGTGGGGATTGAACCCAGGATCCCTGGGTTCTGCAGCGCGAGCTTTCGCTCCACGTGCTCCGAGCTGGTGTGCGCTAGCCCACTCGGCCACCGATCCTTTTTTTTTTTCTTTATTGCATGGTAGTTACAGCAACATTCATGTCATTCTAACAGCACTGCACAGCTTTTTTGCACAGCGTATTAAAAATCACGCATTTCGAGGAGTGATTTTAAATTACTAGTCCACTCCGGTTCAGGTTCACAGTTCAAATACACACTCTGTACTTGTTTTACAAGGTTTAAGAAATATATCTGCACTTCTTTTGCGTCAAGGTCAGCATGTCGAACAGCCATACGTGATCTCCAAATGCTGCACAAAGCTAACAACATAATCATGTCATAAGGAACTTCATTATCATTATCCACACTAAGGAAACGTATCCCTGTTGGGGTTACAGGTAATTCTTTCTTTAAAGTGCGTTGGAGGACATCCCAGAAAAATACCGCGTCCCAACAAAAAATAAACACATGTTCAATAGTCTCAGGTTTTTTACATAGAAGGCAATTTACCGACCATGGCACATAGATTCCTCTTTCTTTAAGCCAAACCTTAACTGGCAAGGTATTCGTGTGTAATTTATAAAAGAAAGTCTTAACAGCCGCGGGAACACACATCCTTTTTACACGACTAAGCACATCGTGGCCATGTTGGGACACACCTCGATACAAGGGCATGGGGAAAACACTCACAACAAAATCGCGATAGACTGACATCACAAAGGTAATTCAAAGAAAAACGTGCTGTCAGAAACCCCATCGTGTCAACAACTTCTTTCAAAACACCAGTGATTCTTGTTGGCTCGCCGCCATGAGAAGAAACAAGAAAAAATGGCAAATGTGGTGACACTTTTGTTTGAATCAGTGTGCGAATGAACGGGTGCTCTTTGTCTCTCAAAAAAAAAAAGAAGCGTGACACAAGCTGCTTGACAAAAAGGTGAGAAAGCCCCACGCCACCGTTACAAACTCGATGAAAAAGATTGTCTCGTCTCATCGGCTCATACTTCGAGTTCCAAATAAATGTGGCGAAAATTTGATGAAATTTTTGAACATTAGTTCGCGCACAATGGATGACCTGAAGAACATACCAGAATTTCGCAATCAGAAAAACGTTACAAACAGTCGCTCGGGCAAAAATGGACAGCTCGCGTTGCTTCCAACGAGAAGCACGCCTGTCCAGGTCGATAGCGACACCCGACCAGTTGTTTGGCTATTCCGGAAACTTTGCAATGGCACCCCGAGGTACTTGCACGGCACTGTGTCCCAGCATACACCCTCAAATTCTGAGGGTGTAGTGGCCCAAGCACCATGCCAGAAACCACGGCACTTTTCCCAGTTTATAACAGCACCAGTAGCGTGGCAAAACCTTCTAGCCAAAGTTATGGCTTCGGTAGCGCTTTCTTTGTCCCTACAAAAAACAGCAATGTCATCGGCGTAACTCATTATTTTTACTTCTGCATTATAAAATTGGAAACCTCGGACACGTTGACTATTTTTTACGCTTAAACAGAAAAGCTCTAAATACAAATCAAACAAAAGGGGAGACATAGGGCAACCTTGTCGTACCGACTCTCGTACGTTAATAACATAACTGAGCTCTTTCTTCACTATAAGCCTTGTTGTACAGTCCTTATAGGCCATCTTTACACCTTTTAGGATGGCGTCACCAACATTGACATGACTGAAAACATCAAAGAGTGCATCATGGCTAACACGGTCGAATGCCTTATCTAGATCTATCTGTAGCACTGCAACCTGCGTGGTGCTGTCACTGCAGGCCTCCAGGACGCTACGAGCCACATGCACATTTGTCAAGATAGTCTTCCCCTGTATCCCACACGTTTGATGCTCGCTTATTATCTCACATGCGACACCTTGAAGGCGACGCGCCAGAATTTTCGCGAAGATCTTGTAATCGGTATTGCATAGCGTTATTGGGCGATAACCGGTGACGCTGCGCAGTTTCACGGGGTCATCAGATTTCGGTATCAGGACAGTGTAGGCACGAGAAAACGAAAAGGGCAAACATTCTCTTTCATAGGCAGTATGAATGACGTTCAAAAAAACACTGGAGAATTTTAGTAATACGTATAGGAGCAAACGCAGACCCCATACGTTAACGTTAACGTTGCGTCCTCCACACTGCGCATGCGCCATACGTACGTACTGCGGCGAGCCTTGCGTACGTACGCTCGCTATCGATTTTTGCGAACGTACGTATCGGTCCCCTGCGTGCCATCTCGTTGCTCTCGTCGCGCACGGGAGAGCGCGAGACTAGTCCAGTTTGAAAAATGGCGGCGGTGAGGCAAACCAGCGCAAGTGCTACGCGCATTGTACGGCTTCGCTTTACCATTGAAAATGACATAAACCTCCTCAAAGAAGTCAACGCGACGAACCCTTTCGAGCACCCACAAAGATCGGTGTCGATAGCCAAGAACGTTGGCGACGCCGTCGAACCCAAAAAAAGGTGTTCACCGTGCAGTCGGTACAAAAAAAAAAAAAAAAAAGGACAAAACACGTACACAACTTCCGTAACAAAGCGAGGAGAATCGGGGCTTTGGATTGGCTCGACCGAATACCCGCCTTGGATTGCTTAAAGCAGTTTACAGGAGAACATCTAGATGGCGCTACAAGTCTTTACGTATGCGTTCTTCTTCCGCTGTACTAAAAGTGCGTATTCGGCGCGCTCCGTAACGTTCCGTCGACGCAACGTTAACGCTAACGTGGAAGGTTTGCGTTTGCCCCTATACGTATTACTAAAACTCTCTACTAGCTATTAGGCTCTTAAAGTTCTTGTAAAATTCTGCGCCCAATCCATCCGGTCCCGGCGTCTTAGAGTTCGGCAGGTCGTCGATTGCGCGCTCCACTTTTTGGATCGTAATTTCTTGCTCAAGCCCTTCGCGTTCATCATTCGATAGCCTTGGCAGTTTTTCTAAAAGCTGGGCATAAATGTCCGTGTGACACCCTTGCGCTTTGTTAGCAAAAAGCTGTGCGTAATGCTCGAGGAAGGCCTGTGCTATTTTCTCGGGATCCGTAGTAATCATTTGCTTGAATCCAATTTCGGCTATTTCGTTCCGAAGTGCGTAACGCTTCTCGTCTGCCAAGGCACGCTTAGTGGGCTGCTCGCCCATTGCGTATTTTTCTGCACGGGCGCGCACTACTGCACCACGATAGCGCTCGCGGTGAAGCTGATCTAATGTTTCTCTGACATACTCCACGTCTTTTACCCCATTACTGGGTCTTTCGCACTCTGCTTTACATAGCTCTATCAGGTCCTTATTTAAACTGCGTTCCTCACACCGGGCGTTGTACGAAAGAATTGATGACCTCTCAATGGCGATTGCCTTCATTTCTTGTTTTGCCAGTTCCCATTTCTCGAAAATGTCCCCTCCCGGCTCTTTAAAAGCATCTTTCAAAAACTGCTCTGCGTTTTTTAGAAAGACGTTGTCTTTCAGAAGCTTTATGTTTAGTTTCCATAGGTTCCAATTAAACTTCTTCTTTTAGGTGCTCTGTCGCCTATCGTCGCGATAACCAGACTGTGGTCTGAGAAAATGACTGGAGTGACACGGTACTTTCCTAAATGTTCTGCTAGAGGGGCAGAAACATACACCCTGTCCAAACGCGCACTGGACGACGCTTGAAAATGGGTAAAGCGCATTTCCTTCTTCGAGTTTTTTACAGTGCCCACATCAATCAGGTCATAATCCTCCAACATTTCGCCCAAAAGTAGTTCACTCTTATCAGCGTTCCGTCTTATTGGCGATCTATCCAACTGTCGTACAACACAATTAAAGTCACCCACAAGGACTAGAGCTCTATCGCAATCAAGATACCGACGTAAACCGCCAAAAAATAAAACGCGGTCAGTGGTCACATTTGGGGCATAAATGCAAATAAGCCTGAATTGATTTGACGTTAGCACAAAATCACACATAATGAAACGTCCTTCAGTGTCCGTAGTAACGCATAACTGCGACAACGGTACCGACTTTTTCAGAAGCAGGAAGCACCCTGCCGAATGACCAACTGCATGCGTCACACAGATTTTGTAGTTAGGCATGAAAGGTCTGACTGCTTCCTCTACCTGTTCCGCCTCAGCCAATTTAGTTTCGTTAACGCCAAGAAATCGGGTTGTTCTTTCGACAATAATCGCTGTATTTGGTACTGCTTTTTCCTAGTGCATAAACCACGAACATTCAGCGTTGCAACTGTAATGGCTGATTGGGACTCGCAAATCATGCGCTGTGCTTCGGTGCAGACACTAAAAACCTAAGCAGTCAGGGTCGAAGTTGTCTTCATGCAGCAATCTTAAACACCAGGGAACCAGGCAAAGAAC